CACCTAGAACACTGCATCCAGTTTTGGTCACCACATTATAAAAAAAGATGTTGAGACTCTAGAAAGAGTGCAAAGAAAAGCAATGAAGGGGATGGCCAACTGGAGGCTAAAACATATGAAGAACAGTTGCAGGAACTGGGCATGGCTAGTCTAGTGAAGAGAAGGACCAGGGGAGACATGATAGCAGTGTTCTAATATTTGAGGGGCTGCCATAGAGAGGAGTGGGTCAAGCTATTTTCCAAAGCACCTGAATAATAAAGGAATAATGAATGGAAACCGAACAAGGAGAGATTCAACATGGAAATAAGGATATTTTTTTTGACAATCAACCGATTGGAACAGCTTGTCTTCAGAAGTTGTGGGAGCTTCACCACTGGAAGCTTTCAAGAAGAGACTGGACTGCCATCTGTCAGAAATGGTGTAGGGTCTCCTTCTTGGGTGGAGTGTTGGACTAGATGACCTACAAGGTCCCTTCCAACTCTGTTAATCTGTAATTTTGGAATGTAAAGCTGACACCAATTTTTATTATGATGGTTTAAATAGAAGTCTTCCAAAGAAGAGCTCCAAGAAAAAGTGCAACTTTTAAAAGGACAAGTTTGGGACTTTTTCCTCATGTATATTAACAAGGTTGAGAAATCCTTGAGAAAAAGAGAAGCTTATAAACTACTTGACAAACATTCCAGAGAAGAAAAATATTTTATTCCATGAAGGCAAGCTGGAAGGAGTGACTTAAACTTAATGAGTCAATTGGAATTAGGGTGGATTCTCATTGGTTTGATATTTATAACTGAAAGAAAGTTTTAATCTAAAGTTTGAAAATGTATTTTTCCTTTATATATAATGCTTAAGTAATTCCTAAAGTTTGTAAAATATTATTGAAAGTGTATTTGAAAATATCTATGTTAAAGAGAAAGTTAAAGAAAAAGATGTATTAGTGTAAAGAAAAATATAGAGCTTTAAAAAGGATGTATACAAGAAGAAAAATTCTATGAGGGTAACTTGGAAAGCGTGATCTAAATTTAATGAGCTAACTGAAGTTAGTTGGAATTTTATTGATCTGAAAGTGAATTTTAAAGTATGTATGCTAAGAGGAAGTCTATAAAAGATGTGTTAGACCTTATTGAGTTTAGAAATATTTTTAAAGAAAGGTTTAGAGTTTTAAAATGGATGTAAAAATGTTTTTCCCCTTTAAGGTTAAAGAATCTGAAATAATAGTGAATTTTGTTAATATATATGATTATAGTTGTTGGGGGGAAAATGCCTCCCGGATGAGGATTCTTCCAGAATTTGAAGAATAAATGGAATAGCGAAGCAGAGCTGCCAGAAAGAAGTCTTTTAATGGCAAGAAACCAAGACAAGTGACATTCAGCAAAGTTTCTTGGCTAGCTAGACTGATTGACATCCAAACGTGAGTTTATATATTCTTTCTGAGTCTTTCAGCTTAACACATACCTTTGATAATTAAATCCTGCATTTGGTGACCTTTTAATTCTATTTCTATTGATGGGATAATTTTCTTAGTTTGGCTTTATTTGGAAGGGGAAAAAATGGTTTATCTCTGTTGAAAAGAAATGGAGTTGGGAAATTTGACTAGTTCCTGTGCCTTGTTTATTTAACAAAAGTCGGTAATTGGTTTAACAAGATATCGATACTGTGATATAGTAACTGTCAGGCCTGCAGCCATCTTTTCTTTTGGATCTTTGGCCTGCCACACTTTCTATTATTCTACTATGCCGTTTCTATTGTGGGAAAATGGGAGGGGGGATGGTACGGAGTTAAATGCTATGTAGCCAAGATAAAATTTCTTTCTGGAAT